ATATTTCTTAGAAGCAAGAATGGCCAGACTTTGTCTCATGTACTTTGGTCATATTGTCAGTGCCTAGAGAAGGATGTCATGCTTGATAAAGTGGAGGGTCAGCGAAAAAGTGGGAGACCCTCAGCGAGATGGACTGACACAGTGGCTGCAGTGATGGGCTCAGGTATAGCAGGGATCGTGAGGCTGGCGCAGGACCGGGCAGGGTTTCGTTCTGTTGTTCACAGGGTCGCTCTGACTCGGAGCCAACTCCACAGCACCGAACAACGAAGAGTCTGTGTAGCCTGGTAGACGGGAGGTCCACGGGGGGGCGACCCAGTGGGTTACGGCACTGGGTGCCCCCAGTCCTAGTGACACCACTGCCATGACCTGCTCGCCTCCTGTGGTTCCTCCCAGTGTCTGGGCCCCCTGGCAGAGAGGAGGAGGAGAGGGTTCCTGCAAGTCAGAGATTTCAAGCGTCTGTAAGAAGCGTTCTAATGGGCGATGCAGCGAGCAGAGAAGGCCCTTCTGGGTTGGCTTGGCCCCGCAGCCGCCTGGAGATGGGCCGAGAAGGCATTTGCTCAGCGGAGGGGGTGACGGGACGAGTAACCCCTCCGTACCCAGGAGCCAGCCGGCTGCTTCCTGGGGCTTGGATGTCCAGTAAACATTGAAGTGAAGAGGCCTGTTTTCTCTGGTTGCCAGGCACAGAGAGGGGATGTAGCGCCCTGGGAGTCAGGGTGCCCTGTACCCACCCTGCCGAGCAGCACATGAGTGGGTCTCTGTGCACGGCAGGCCCAGTGCTGTAAGGGGGGTGTGCAGGCAGCAGCAGGGCCTGGGCGGCTGGAATCGAGGAGGCTCCCCAGGGAGGTGCTGGCCCAGCTGAGGTTGAAGCAGCCAGATGCAGGGAGGAGGGAGGGCCTCTGGGAGGAAGCGGCGGCCTGGGCACCGGCCGAGTCTGGGTCCCCTCATGTCCGGCTGGCTGGATTGGTGGGTGCGAGGGGTGTGTCTCAGCTCCAAGTTGTAAACAACCCCAGATGCCCCTGCTACCTGCAGCCAACTCTTCCTTGCAGCTGCTCCCGAGAGAGGATTTTCCCAGAAGTAGGATTCCTGACCGGGTCAGAGTGACTTTTCCTCATGTCCTTGGCGGGGGACAGACATGGCCCTGGGTCACCATTCCTGAAGCTAGGAGGGGGAGCACCACTCCACTCAGTCAGAGCCAGGAGGCGGGCCCTGGCCCGGGGCTCAGTGTGGAGCCAAACCTCTGCCCTGTATCAGGATCAAGGCCTGGAGGCTCTAGGAACCCAAGCAGCGGGTTTGGGGGCAGAGGGCCCAGGTTCAAATCCCAGTGCAGCCCCTCCTGAGCCGTGTGGCCTGTTAACTCCTTCAAGGCTAGATTTTCTCACCTACACAGTGGGTCTCACAGTGACAGCACAGAGGCATACAGAGGGGTTGAGTGGGGCCACGTTTGCCTGCATGCAGTGGGTCTGCCGATTTTGGAGAGAGCTGGTCACTGCAGACACATGGTCACATCAGTGGGAGC